GTGGAGTAAACCTTATCAATGACAACTGGATGGTAAAATTTTCAAACAATAAACTAAGTCTTCACAAAAATCAATAGTTTTAAGCAAAGTCAAATTCTGTCCATAAAAAGGTATTTGGAGTAAAATTTAAGCAATGGGAAGCAGGTTCATCTTTAAGTAACAGAATAGATTAGGCAAAGGCTTCTGATGGCAAGTTCAGTTTGACTTAATTTAAGTTTAGCAACTGGATATGCCCAAGGTACATTTATAGTTGCCTGAAACTAGTGGAAACTGCATTTTTTTTTTTTTTAAGATCAGAAATGATGCTTCCTCCTCTGTACCCTATCTAGCTCTGGCTTGACAAGAACTCAGTGAAGAACATAAAGTAGAAATCTACATAATAAGGCTACCAAACTGATTTTCATGAGCCTCTGCTTCCCATCAACTCCAAATCCTCCCAAATTCAATTACTTATATACACAATAGTAATAGCTGCCCATCACTGGGCTAAGTGCTTAGCACATATTACTTCATTAAATCCTTAGCTAAGCTATCTAGAGGACCAATTAAGAATGTTTTTCTCATATTCCAATACAAATTCCAAGGAACTGTTTTCAGAAACAAGCTGATGTTCAATGGATTTTCTAAATCTCTTCTAAGAATGATTAAACATTTTAAAAAATTAACTATACAAAGATAATTACCAAAAATTATTGTACAGCAACCTAATTGTGTAAGGATAAAATTGCTAGAGCTGCTACCATTAAAAAATGAGAACCAAATCTTTTTTTTTATTTTAATAAAGCTAAAGGCCAAATTTCATGCTTCAAGTCTTCTATCTGCAGCAAGACTTACACCTCTGCAGCACTTTAAAGCTTTCAAATAAACTGCTGTAGCACAAATGGTGAGCACAATTACTGCCCCTCTTATTGGACAAAAATACTTTAAGCCAGGTGCAGTGGAATACACCTATAATCCCAGCAGCTCAGGAGGCTGAGGCAGAATGATCTCAACTTCAAGGCCAGTCTCAGCAACATAGTGAGATCCTTTAATAAAAAAAATACAAAGGATTGAGGATACATTTCAGTGGTATAGCACCTCTGGGTTCAATCCTAATACAAAAAAAAAAAAAAGTTTAATCAAAGTAAATTTTCTAATTAAAATTAATAAACACAGGGTGTCTTTAAGATTTAATTTCCTTACCTATAAAATATAGATTAGACTAAATAATATTTAGACTGTCCCACTTAAAATAGCAAACAGTCTGCACTTACCAAAGGAAAGTAAAAAAAAAAAAAAAATGAGAACAAGCATTAGTAGAACATCAGAAGGACTCAAGTGAAAATTTGTGCCTTAACCTCAGGAAAGCACAGTGGCGTTTGAGGACTGTGTTCCTCTGGCCGGAGGTCAGACCCTCCCACCCCCAGCACTGCCTCACTGCGCCAAATGCTCCAACTCTACAGCCCATGTGGCAGCCGCATTTCTGTTCCCAGAAATTTCATCTTCAGAAAGTTAAAATCCATAATTCTTCAAAAAATGCGAGCATTTCAACTGCTTTTCCAGACGATTTATAAACTGGCAGACAAGACTGTGGTATRTAGACAAAACTCAGTCTCAGATTTAAAAAATAATAAGAGTTCCTCCAAAATATGTGTATTTAGAGAGAAAAGCAGTCTGATGRAATGAAAGGAACCTAACATTTAGTGATTTTAAAGTTGAGTTTAATATGAAAATTTAAACGAGGAGTTTTTTAAAAGGTCTTTGTTTTAAAATATCTTAATTTGGCTATTTTTCGAGTTAAAGAAAGTGATTTGTGGGTTTTCTGGTTTTGAAATTTTTTAAGAATGTTTYGCAAGTTTTAAATTTATCTTTAATTGGTGTCAAAACATATTGGAGAAAAGAAAGGCCTTTTAACAAATGGTACTAGGAAAACTGGATATCCATATATAGAAGAATGAACCTAAGTCCCTATCTTTCACCCTTCACAAAAGTCAACTCAATGTAGATCAAGGATCTAGGCATTAGACCAGAAACTTTCCAACTGCTAGAAGAAAACACAGGGTGAATACTCCAACATATTGGTACAGACACCAGCTTCCTTTTTAATAATCCTAAAGTATAAGAAAAAAAAACAACAAGAATCAGTAAGTAGGATGGCATCAAATTAGAAAGCTTCTGCATAGCAAAGAAAACTAAAGTATGAAGAGAGAGCCTAAAGAAATGGGAGAAGATCTTGCTCACTACTATGTAAAGAACTCAAAGAACATCCCCCTGCCAAACACACACACACACACACACACACTCCCCACACACACACAAAAAAAGACATTTCTCCAAATGGAGAAATACAAATGGCTAATACGTGTGTACGTGTGTGTGTGTGTGTGTGTGTGTGTGTGTGTTCAACATTATTAGCAATCAGTAAAATGCAAAACTAGACTGAGATTTCATCTCACTCCAGTTAGAATGACATTCATCAAACATACAAACAATAATAAGTGCAGGCAAAGATGTGGGTAAGAAAGTATACTCATACTTGTTGATGGGACTGCAAATTAGTACAACCACTATGAAAAACAATATAGAAATTCCTTAAAAGACTAGGAATGGAGTTCCCAGATAAGCCAGYTATTCCACTCCTTGGTATTTATCAAAAAGATCTAAAATCATGTTATAGTGATACAGGCACACCAATGTTTATAGCAGCACATTCACAATAATCAAGTTATGGAATCAGCCCAGGTGCCCATCAACAGATAAATGAATAAAGAAAAATACCATAAATATATGCAATGGAGTTTTACTCAGTCATAAAGAAGAATAAAATTATGGCATTTGCTGGTAAATGGATGGAACTGGGGACTATCCTGCTAAGTGAAATAAGCCAGACTTAGAAAGTCAAGGGTTCAATGTTTTCTCTCATATGCAGAAGCTATAGTAAAATAAGGAACAAAATGGGTGAGAGCATCCCATGTAAATAAAAGAGATCAGTAGAATAGAGGAAAGCAATAGAGGAGGAGGGATGAGGGAGAGGAAAAGAGAGAAACTATAGGATGAAACTGACCAAATTATGCTATGTACATATATTCATATATCACAATGAATTTTATGTATAAAGCACCAATTAAAAAAATAAACAAACAGAAGGAAGACCAGTAGAGTAGAAGTAGGGGGATGGAGAAGAAGGAAAATAGGGAAGAAGMAGCCCGGGGGACTGAAGTTGGACAAATTATATTCTATGCATATATATGTCAAAGTGTGTAACTATAATGTACTAATAAAAACATTTAATATGAGTTTTAATTGACACGTAATTGTAAACATTTATGGGCTACATGATGATRTTTCAACATAGTTACACAATGTGTAATGATCAGATCAGGGAAATTGGCAGATCCATCATCTCAGACATTTTATCATTTCTGTGTGTTAGGAACATTCAGAATCTTCTTTAGTAGCTCTTTTTAAACTATACAAAAATTAATTGTTGTTAACCATATTTAGCCTATTGTGCTGTAGAATATGAGAAGTTATTCATCCAATCTAAATGTACCCCGGTGCCTATAAACTCTCTCTAACCTCCCCTTCCCAGGCTCTGGTAATCACTATTCTATTCTCTAATTCTATGAGACCAGATTTTTYAATCTCTCACATTTAAGAGCTTTTACTGATTAGAATGAATTGGACATAACTTTCCTATGTTCATATATGAATACATGACCAATATAATTCTTCATCATGTACAACCACAAGAATGRGAAGTTATATTCCATGTATTTTTATATGTCAAAGTATATTCTACTGTCATGTATAACTAAAAAGAACAAATAAATTTTTTTTTAAAAAAGAGCTTTTACTGCTGTCTCATAAATAACATGCAGTATGTATTTTGGTGCCTAACTTGACTTTTTTTTAAAATTAACTATAACAATGAGCWAAACATGGTTGAAAGATTAGAATATACTTCACAAAATAAGATCTATTAATGTCCAGTAAGCACAYGAAAAGATGTTCTACTTCTCTAGTTGCAGTAGTGTGGATCTGGAATGTCCCCCAAAGGTCCATGTATTAAAGGTTTGATGCTAGTGTGATGCTTCTGGGAGGTAGCAGAAACTTTAAGAGATGGGGCCTAATGGAAAGATTTTCAGATCACTGGGGGGGTTGGCCTTGAAAGTAAAGGTGTAGGCCCAGCCCATTCCTCTTCCTTTCTTTCATTCTGCACTATGGTGTGCTGCCACAGGCCCAAAGCTATGGTACCAACCAACCATGGACTAGAACCTCTAAAACTAAGCTGAAATAAACCTTTTCTCTTTTTAAGTTGATTATCTCGGGTATTTCTTRCAGTACCAGAAAGCTAAAAAACAAATAGTCAAAAAAATACAAAAGAAAAACCACAAAATGACAAGATTATATACCATACAAATGGCCAAACTTACACAGACTGGGAACRCCACAGATTAGTAAGGAAGCAGAGTGATTGGTTTATTCATTCATCATTTTTGGTTGTAGAAAATGGCACAGTTATGGAAAACAGTTTGATAGTTTCTTATGAAGTTAARTAGTACAGACACAAGCATTAAACACTTAACTACTGATGGAAACAACATTGGCAAATCTTTAAAACAATATGCTGAGCAAAAGGAGCCATAGTATATGGTTCCATCTATATAAAACTCTTCAGATATATGACTGCCATGGACCCAGAGACTAGAGGATGAGGTGAGGGCTGGTATTAAGCAGAAAAAACATAGCAAACATTTTATATTTTGATCACAGTGGTGGTTACACTGGTGCATGAATTTCCCCAAATTCATACATATGTASATGCACAATGGGGACAGTTCATGGTATGTCAGTTATATTCATTAAAGTTGAGTAATAAAAGCTCCAATTTAAGTATTTTCTGGATTGAATGAGATTGTACCTAATGGTCTGCAGGCTGATTTTCTCACATGAGACCCTGTGGCCATCCAGGACCCTATCAGAGAATCCTTCCCTGATCCAAGCCGCTCATGACTCACCAGTCAGGGCTCCTCCCAGGCTCCCACGCCGCAGCTGCCTTCCATCCTCACTCAGCTGTCTTTTATACTTCAGTGACTTGCCAGGACCAGAAGCCACATCTGGGTTGCTGCATTTCCGAAATGGCATGGGTGGTGGGGACAGGATATGATCAAGCTGTACACAGAAGGACAGTAGCAACATTTAGTGGGGACATTAGACACAACCTAGAATCAAAGATGCTGCTCACACTCGCCTCCTTTCTTATCCTYCTCTAAACCCCCCTTCCTCCCAAYGCTGTTTTTCACTTGAGACTTAGAAAATTCAGGATTTCACTGTTTTGTCTTTCATCTGAAAGACAGTTTCACTTGCTTCAAAATCTCAGTAACAGGATTTTGAATGCAGGTCACAACATACTAGTGGGTCATAAAATCAAGTTGAGTTGTTTGTAATCAGTATTTTTTAGTACAACAGAATGGAAATTATCACTGTCCAATGAAGAAGGGAAAGTACTGTTTCATGGAATTTTCGACTGAGTTATGTACATGCATATATGTGTTTCCTAAGTCTCCTGTATAAATAAAATATGTCTTTCTTTAGACCATGGTCCCCTCAGCCCAAACTGAAGCATATTGCTCTATAATGAAGCAAGAGACCAGGTCTTTAGTYGGTCACAAAAGAAAATTCACGTATTGCTCACAAATATAGGTTCAGGAGAGAGATTTTTAAGCACCATAGCCCTTAATGGAAATCAATACATCCCAACATCACTTCGCGGCTTTTAAAAAGAAAACCTGTCATGAGAATCAGAGAAACCATATCCACTTCAAGAGACGGCTTTTTACAAAAGAATCCCTTGTGTCACAACACTTATTTCAAGATCTGTTCTGCTTTTATAAGAAAATCTTTCAGGGGCTGGGACTGTGGCTCAGCAGTAGAGCGTTCACCTAGCACAGGCGAGACCTGGGTTCGGTCCTCAGCACCACATAAAAATAAATGCATTGTGTTAAAAAAGAAGAAGAAGAAAAAAAGAAAATCTTTCATACTTGAAAAGTGCTGACCTTCTGGATGTTCACCTCAGAGGTAGTACAAGTGCATATATATGCGTCTAGATAGTCACAAAGGACAAAAATATTCATGTGTGTGCATGTACACACACATGCACATATATATCCAGATCATTATTAAGGATATGCAACAAAAAGATATTCAGATATTTGCAGAAATTCCAATTATCACAGAAAATGACTAACTTTGTAGAAATGTTAAAACATCGCAGAGGGTGGCAATGCTCAAAGCCAGGCATTTTAAGGGATGTTTCACTGAGACTTGTTCTGCTTTCATGGGGAAAGTGCTSCTCCCATGGTTACACCCATCTGAATTCTTTCATATTAAGACCATCACAAATGTATTTATAAAAAGAAATTCAGAGATAGGCCATCCATCCACTTGTTGTCTACACCACTGTACCACATTCAACATCATTGCACAGTAAGAAACTTGATCTTGCTTATGAATATCCTCTCCCAAGTTAGTTTATATAGAATAGACATCACTGGTTGCTAGACACTGTCTACTTTTCTCCATGCTCAACTGGGCTCATTAGTGACAACCAAAGGCTCAATTTCAAGAACTTCTCATTAAACACTGGATCATACTCCTGGCCAGCTAGTACTTTACTATATTTCAACTTCCAATCAGAATTTTAGTGAAGGGCCCTTGAATAACTAGGAGTTCATCTGTTCCAGAATCAAAGCCAGATCAGGAGGGGAAAGGAATTCAAGAGTGAACTTTTAAAAGAAACAGCCCTTACAAATGGGAAGTTGTACTTATTGCAAAGTATTTGCTGAGACTGCTGTTCATTACATCAGTGTCCTACTTAGAAAGGCCTCCAAGGAGGAAATTCCATCTACCCTCAGATATTCTGCCCTTAAATTTTGTAGATGAAGAATTGTAGCCAGGGAAACCTGGGCAGCTACCTTTTGGTTACTAGAGAAGGCAGAATCCAATCCATGGTTCAATTGTAGTCAGACCATCATACAATGCAAATGTTATTTTTCCCTTCTTTTTGGTTCCACATTATGTCCTTACCCCAGTTTTTCTTTCCTGCCAATTTTTTTTTTTTTACTTTGAAAAATGTCAGAAGAAAACTTGAAATTATGGAAAAGTGGTTATGAGTAAACGCAATTAGTACCTGCATTCCACTGGCCAATGATGAACTGCTAACTTTTACCACACTGCCTTTGCTTTGTCTCCCTCTGTCCACGCACACACATGTACACACACTCATGTAAGCAGTGGGTGTTAGCTGCAGATTATGGGTCTTCACCCATAAACACATTAGCATGCCTCTTCTAAGACTATGTGATATTCTCTTAAATTCAACAATACTACATTCTACATATCCTTACGAGATGCCTCAAATCTTTTGTGAGCAATGTACAGTATAAATACCAGGAAAAACATAAAAAATCAGGCTACACAATGTAGACTTAACATTAGTTTAAAGCTGCTCTTCTCCAGTACAAGGAAACTTGCAGCCACAAGGTGGCAATGTGCCATAGACATTCAACAAAATGTTCCGTAATATCTACTAGTCCTAGTCAATGCACTCAGAATGGATGACCGCCGCTCAAAGCAATCAAGCAAGTTAGGGTCTATTCTGCTAAGTTATTTTCTCTTAATTACTAGTGACAGCTGCATAAAATACAAATATTTATTGTTCAAGGTTCATCAGCTTCTGCTACTTATTTTTCACTCAGTTTGCAGAATTACAATTAATTACTCAGGGGAAGATTGTTATATTACAAATTAACAGAGGGTGGAAAATAAGTGGAAGGGAATTATTCCTAAATAAGGAATTATGTAATTTCCTTGCAGATTTCCAACCGAGTCATAAAAGACATGAGACAAATATGTCTTTTTCTTTTGAAAAAGAAGGAATTCAACAAGAAGGTGTAGGATAAAGAAAAAGAATCTCTTTCATCACATATATACATATATAGCCACAAGCTATTAGTCCATAAGCCAGGGTTTTAAATAAGAATCACCACCCCAAGAGAAGCATATTATTTTAAATCTGGGGAAATTGAGGCAGTGAAYTATGAGGGCTGCAAATTTTTCAAACATACTATGAGCAGAAAAACCAATGAGAATAGTGCAGTGCTCTAGGATCCCATTTCTTTCTTCCTATCAGTTCACACTCCCAACAGGGCTTTCTCTAAATAGATCATTTTTCCAAATTTGCTATGTTGTCAGTGGCTTTCGTATTCCTTTTGCAATTAGTCAAAGATTCTTAAAAGGGTCTACTGCAGCCCCACAATTTATTTGCCATTTTTGTCCTGATTTAAACACTCACAATCCCTTTAAAAACATTCCATCACACCCTAGAGCTTACGGTGCATATCAAACATGTCATTTTGGACATTGCTCTTTAACTGATTTCAGTTTAATATTTTCCAACTTTTCCAAATTCCCCCAGCACTCACACTATAAGGGGTTTAACTAAAAATGGAGGTCACCTTGAAACTTTCACTGATGCTCAAGGGCATCAAAGCCTGGACTTGTTCCACTTGCTGCTGCAAACATTTGCGATTTCCCTCCCTAAGCAAACAATCTCTAGAGCCAACTCCCGGRGAGCCAGATCCCATTCCCTTGTCATCTAGCACACTACTAGTCACAGATATCCAGAATTGAAATATGTTCTCCAGAAATATGTCCTTATTTCATTCACCAATAATAAATATTGATTCTTGGTGAATGGATTTGCTGAAACTCCTACGTTTGTTTCGCAAGCCCCTTTAATTCCAACATGAGCCAGAATAAAACACAAAACATTGAAACTGTGCATTTGCACATTACTGAACTTAAGAAATCAGATAGATGGGGTGTAGCATACCTCTACATGTGAGTGATGAACAACTGCTCTTAGTTAGCAGTCTGCTGCAGGCAATACAAATCATCTAAGGGACACAAGGTGCATAAACAAGGTAAATCTGAAGCAAATTTAGGGGAAAGTTTCCAAAATTATCAGTCTTGTAACAATGATAATCATATAGAATTCATAATAATAGTAAGAGTTTTTCATCTGTATTTTCTGTATTTGTCATCCTAAGATAGTGTTTGCTGTTTTACAAACTATCAGGCTGAGAAAAAGAAAAGAAACCTACTATGATTACATGTGGCTTCTCTCATCAATGAAGATGAATTACACATAAAGCTGAATCATTTATGAGGCTGGATCAATTTTAAGTGTCTTTCCCATCACCACCACCATCCTGTTCTTGGGTTTCTTTTTCTATGGCTCTATGCCCAAGTACTATCATCTATCTACCTCTAAAAGGCAAAACTGGCCACAAACATTGAACTTTTACTTAACTATTTTCTCCAACCTCATCTCCAGACATCATCATGAGTTATCCAATACATTTTAAAATATTGACAGTGAGCATATGAATAGAAAGAAAAAGATTTTTCCAATTTCACTGAATGCAACACCATTTCTTCTAGCTAGTGGGGTCATAAATTTCAAAAATATTCTTAATTTCTCTTTCTCATTCCATATCCAACCAATAAATCCTCTACCTCAACCTCTAAAATACACCCAATAATCCAGTCACTTGAACACTTTTACCAGTAGTRGCATCGGTTCTGTTATCATGATCCATCTTACAATGGCTACTGTGGCCTCAGGAAAACTACCAATGACCCTTCTGAAACACAAGCTACATGCTCCAACTAGGACTTCTAGAACTGCTCCCTTCTATGCTGCAGTCATCCCAAGGCTATTTCTTCATCCTGACCAAACCCAGTGTCTAGACAGTGACCTCTACTCCCAGCTCTCTGACCACAGTATCCTCCATTCCACTCAGTCTATCTTGGTCCCTAGCTAGACCTCAGATGCCGCAAGCATCTTTCCATGAAGGACATTACGTCTATCATTTCTTCTCCCTGAGATACACCCTAGATATTAGTGATTGTGCCTCCCATACCTTCCAGGTCTCTACTTACATGCCATCCTTTGTAGGAAGCCCTCTGTAACTACCCATGTGAAACATTATGCCCACCACTTCATTCCCTTTTCTTATTTTTTTTTTCATAGCATCTACTTCCACATGACAGATTTTTTTGGACTTGTTTCTTGCCATTCTTCTGCTAAGATAAAAACTACATGAAAT